ACTTTATATCCATACTCAGGTGCCAAAAATCTGAGTGTAACCGACTGTGACTAGTAATAATCAGATACATAGAGATTAGAGACGCATGTGCAAACATCTAGATGTTAGTAGCATTAAAAATGAGTTTTTCTGTGTGAAAGAGTATATTTTAAAATAAATGAAATGGATATCTTTTTTAAAGGTTAAAACTTCATTTAATTTTATGTCTTCAAGGGTTTATACTGCGTACAATATTGTATAACTGTATTAATTCAACTGTAAACCTAAAAATTTACAGCCAATCTTGAAACAGATGCATCTTAGCTCTGGAAATTGTTATTGAATGTCAATGCTGTTGTCATGAAATGCTTCTTCTAATTATATGATTATTAAATAGATATTTAAAAAATATATTCACCTAAGTTATATGTCTGAAAAGGTGGATACTTATGTAACTCTTGCATTCTAATGACATGCTTAAATAACTAGATTTTTTTTTTTTTTTTTTTTAATGTGAAACAGAGCCAGGCATGGTGGTGTATGCCTTTAATCCCTGGTGGTCTATATAGTGAGTTCCAGCTGGGACTACATAATGAGATCCTGTCTAAAAATTAAAATGAAACGTCCAGACTCCAATCAACTATATGGGGGATATAAGTCTTTTAAATAATGAGTAACATGTGGAACAAACAATTTATACATTAGATTCTATCAAGACCTATATGCCAAAATTTCAGTATGGTTTAGAAAGTTAGTGAAGGTTTCAGAAATACAAATGAAATTTAACAAATAAATAAAACACAAAGTTCCTCATATAGGATATCTGTGATACCAAGGAGTCATCAAATTTATATAACACAGCTATACAATGTTCCAAGAAGAGGAGCTAAAGTTTTACTTTATAGTTTGTTAACAAAAAGCAATTTATAATTAATAAAGTTGCTTCACAATAATATCTATGCTTTGTTTGACAATTAAAGATTACTTAACAAAAGTTAAATAAAAAGCTCATTAAAATTTCAGTAATCCTCCTACTTATAATCCTAATTCTTAGAGAAGGGAAAACAAATATAAAGTTAGCTATTCCCAAAACCCAGGAGATCAAAAACCATGAAAAGCAAACCTCAAATATTGTTGCTCCTGTGAATCGACTTAAAGCAGCAAACTCAAGGATCAAGGTACCTGCACAGGCCGTACAGGTATCTGTCTCAGTTCCAGTCCGGGCTTCTGGTTTTCTGATGCCAAACTTTAAATTAATCTAAACACAATGAGAAGGTTACCATAAGCAACTATCAAGAGATAGATTTCTGATAATCAAGACCATCAAATCATGATAATAATTCATGAAATAACTGAACACTGAGCTCAATCTGATGATCTCTGTGATTTTCAATGAACATCTAGGAAAATATATTCTAAGCACAAATTCTCAAAATTTATAAGTAAGTTCTCATTTAAATTTTTCTTTGATGATATCAAAAGGCAACATCATTAAAAAAAGCAACATCATAACTGTAATTGCTAAAATAATGTAAGAGTAGATTAGCTAAGCTGGGTGTGGTGATGCATGCCTTTAATCCAGTACTCGGGAGGCAGAGGCCTGCAGATAGATGTCTGTGAGTTCAAGGCCAGCATGGTCTACATAGCAAGTTGCAGGTGAGCTGGGGCTACAGGGAGACCCTGTCTCAAAAAGATTAAAAAACAGGGGCTGGAGAGATGGCTCAGTAGTTAAGAACACTGGTTGTTCTTACAGAAGACCTGGGTTTGAATCCCAGCACCCACATGGCAGCTAACAACTGTCTGTAACTCCAGTCCTGGGGGATCTGACAGCCTCTTCTGACATCCATGGGCATTGCATGACATGGGTGCACTTACCTACATGCAGGCAATACATGCATACACATAAAATAAAAATTTTTTAAAAGTTTTAAAAAAAAGTTTAAAAAATAATAGAGTAGATAAGCCTTAAGAGAACATGTGAAAACCAGTACTATTAAATACTTCATAGAGACAAACTTGATTGTAATGACATGTATTTAGAACAGATTAAAATTTTGTTTTAGAGGTGTTAAAAGATTTTCAAAGTTCATTTATTCTTTGACCATTTTATACATGTATATTATACATATGATCACTCTAACCCACCCTCTCTATTCCTCTTTTCCCCCACTAAGTGCCCCCCCCCAATAAAGTCCTCAACACCATCATGTCTGTTTTAAAATTACATTTCTTTATTGTAGGGGGCAAGCACATGCCACATCTTCCATGTAGAGGTCAGAGGACATCTTATGAGAGTCAGTTCTACAGGTGAAACCCTGTAGCTACCTGTAATCAAACTCACACTTGGCAGCAAGAGCCTTTACCTACAGTCATCTCACTAACCCCATCATGTCTTTTTGATGTCTTTTAACCAGTGCTGCCTGTATGAGTGCCATCCATTGAAGTATGGCGCTCACCAGTGGCCATACCACTGAGGACCAGAACCCCTCCACCCAAGCAGCCATCAGCTGATCAGTATTCACTATCTACTATACTGTAGTCATTATGGTAAGATACAAAGAAGCAAATCTTTGCCATCAAGCAGCTTAAAATTCAGTCAGAGAAAACAGGATAGAAATGAAAACAGAGAATAACAGAAGTCACAAATAAGTGCCCCCCTCCCCACCGAAAAGGAACTAACAAAAACGGAAAACTCAGAAAATAATATATCACTGGATTAGGAGTACTTGTGAGTTAAGAATGGTTAAATTCAGGGAGTAGTCAACAGAAAGCAAAACATAAAAAGGAAAAAAATTTAAATTAGCATTTTTTTCCTTAAAAAGGGGAAGGCTTTGAATCACTAAAGTTTTAATATATTGAAACTATTTTTAAGACGTTTGTATACTGCATACAGTAAACAGCCTTTACTATCCCAAGATGTTTGCTACAAAATTATGTAAATGAACTATTTCTTAATACAACTGTTACACTTTCAAAGCAATATGTACCCTGACAATAAGTAGTGTCAAACATATTTCAGTTGTAAAACTAGGGTGCAGTTTTGCACTCAGGAGGCACCACCATTCTGAAGACAGGATATGATATTTGCTTTGGTTTCTGGTTATGAGCCTCCTCTTTCTGACAATGCCCAGCTAGAGACAAAGTACTGGGGAAAGCAGCACTTACTGCTTTAGACATTAGAAACAGGAACTTATTGCTCCTTCCTTTCTTGAATGGCTTAGAATGATCGAGTTTTTGTATTTGGAAGGTACCTGGAACCTGGTTATTCCTGATGTGCATTCCCGCGCATGAAGTAGTTTTGGAAAAGGACATTTTTTGTTTGTTTTTTTCCTCTTTAATTGAAAGGGGAAAGAATTATTTGTATTAAATTTACTATATCCTTTAATTGGAAAATCCTTTAATTTTGTACAATTAAATGGCATTTCTGCAGATATAATCATCTATTCAACTTCAACAATGTGATTTATCTGAGAAGAGAAGCTGGCAAGTTGTTTTTAGCTGACTATGAAGAAATAGCATTACGAAGTGTGGATATGGTTTATATGTGAGTTTTAAAACTGATCATTCCACAACCATTGCACTCAGGAACTCACAGCAGCTGTGGTTTCCTGCACAGGACTGGGTCAGTCCACATTTCATCATGGATAGAGGAGGGGCTCCTGAGGCCTCACTCCTACTCACTCCTCCTGAGGCCTCACTCCTCCTTGAGGGATTCCTGGGAGTTAATGGTTGCTGGGCTAGGGAGTATCATTTTCTTAAGTACCATAGCTACTGATAAGTTTCCCAAGCTCCAGCGAATGACCCCATCACCCATGCTCATGAAATCAACCCTAATTAAACCCAGTAGGTCACAAATAGGAAAAAAAAAAAAAAAAGACATGAAAGTTGGAGGAAAAGTTTCACTTATTTACTGTTGGGAAAAGAAGGGTTTCAGCAAGAGAGGTTAAGAAAGAAGGCAATGGGGGAAGGGGGTAAAAAGGACCAAAGTTCATTATATACATGTGTGAAATTGTCAAAGAGTTTCTAAAAATGACCATTATGGTCAGGGATGGAGCAGTGGTACAGCACCTGCCATACACAGAGGCACCGCAAAGAGGGAAGAGGAGGGAGAAGACCAGGGACACTTACAACAGCATTCCCATCTAGCACATTCTTCTGGCTTAAAACACCAATGATATCTACGAGAAACTGATCACATCATCTTCAAGAACAAAAGTAATTACATAATAAGCATGTATAAGGAAGGATGGGAAGGCATTTCCTTTCTTCTGCAGCCCTCTTCTAAAACAATCATTTTCAAATCTTCTTGCTACTTCAAAGAAGACAATATGTTTCTTTGTTCATCCTAATGCTCACTGTACCTTCTGCTTCAATTCAATGCTTGCCTCTCACATTACAGCAAACACGAAGAAATGACAGAGGGAAGAGGACTCAGCACTTTCCGGGCAAGCATGAGAATTTGAGTTCCAGCCCATTGCTCGCATAAAAATCCAGGTTTTGCTGTGTGCACCTCTAACTCCAGTGCTGGGAGGCAAAATAGGAGGATCCTGAAGCTCATGGGCCAGCCAGTCTAGCTGAATCAGGGAGCTCCAGGTTCAGTGAGAGACTTAGAAAAAAAAAAAATAAGGTCGGAGAGTCATTGAGGAAGTGGCCTCTACATGCATGCACACATACATACATGCACACACACAAAGAAATACTAGATTCCTCAAATTCTAGTACCTCTACTTAAAACTAAGGGCTGGAAAGATGGCTTGGCAGGTAAGAGGTCATGCTGCTCTTGCAGACACCCAAGTTCTGTTCCCAACACCCATGTCAAGTGGCTCACAAACTGCAACTCAAGTTTCAGGATATTCAACACCCTCTTTACCCCTCAGACCTGCCCCCCCCCCCCCCCCCCCCCCCCCGCAACAGACACACATACATATCCACAATTAAAGGTAAAATTTTTAAATGAAACAAAACTAAAATTAGTAAAAGTGAATCCAATCAAATAGATGCAACACATGTACATTAAATGGCTTTGCCTCTAATTTTAATAAACTAAGGGAAAAATAATCAAACAAATATAACTATACTAACAAGACAATAAATTCTCTTTTAAATAACTGCAATTTCCCCTCATGTTACTGACAGAAAACTGCTACTCTACAGTGTTGGAATCAGGACAACAGCACAGGGACACTTCTGGGACACTAAGGGAGTCTAAAAGTATCTTTTTGGCAGCAATTCTGTAATGTAAAGTCTTAGAAAGCATTCCTTACTCTGACTTATTTCTCTTAGTAATTCATCTGAAAGAAAAAAAAAATGTGTAAAAAGAAAGATAGAAATGATCTCACGTCTATTTAAAATACCAAAACTGGGGCTGTGAAGACTGACTCAGTCACTGAAGTGCTTGCCATGCAAGCTGAGAGACCTTACTTGGAATTCCAGAACCCATGTAAAAAGCTGGGGTTGGTGGCACACTCCTGTAACCCCACTGGTAAGGCACAGACAGGGGGATCCTTGAGCTCACTATTTGGCCAACCAAGCTAATCAATAAGCTCCCGGCTCAGTGAGAGATCCTGTCTCCACCTTTAGATGGAGAGCCATCCAAGGAAAGATACCTGCTATCTACCTTGGATTTCCACAAGCATGCATACTCACATGCATGCTAACAAGTATACACAACACACATGCATGCACACACACACACAAACACACACACACACACACACACAAACTCACACACACACACACACAACACACACACATACGAAGAAAAAAATACCAAAACTGGAAATTAAAGCAATAAGAAGGTTAATTCATCTTTCATCATAGAAAAAGAGCTGGTCATGAAGTTATTGAGTCAATCAACAGACATGACCTCTAGTTTGAAAAGCACCAGCCTGTATCATGTGGACTGTCTACTGCATCAACAATGACTTCTTAATGAAGAAAACTCTGCTTGACTTACATTAGCAGAGAAGTTATGCCAGGTGATAGCGATGGTAGGCATTAGTGCATGCAATGAGAGCATGCAATGAAAAAAAAGCCCCAGGGGTTTTGTGGGACTACTACAGACTACTCTGGCTGAAAGGGAAAAGTAGTTACTCTGGGATAATGAGAATGAAAAACACTAGAAAGTCTACTGCCCACCTACGAGGATTTCTGAGTGTTAAGGACACTCAATTCAACAGGGAGAAGGTGAAGCTTTTGAAAGCAATTCAATAAAAATTGTGTTTTAGTAAATACAAATTTCCCAAGAGTTCTGAATAATAAACCTCAGAGAAAAGAGTAACTGCAGTAAGATGTTTACGTAACTTAGTAATAAAATTACATTGGCTTTGATAACGTAGCAGCACAAAGAAAGGTAGTCAAAGAGACAGACCATATAATGGGTCAGGTACCTGACCTGGACATGCAGAGGAGAAAGATGGTGTCAATAAAGGATGAAGTCAGAAGAAAGCTCATTCCACTTCAGTGGCTTCCTTCCCCTTTGCTTCAAATATAAAATATTCTTGGAGGAAAAAACAATAGCAAAAGTCCCTCAACTGACTCTGCCGTCAAGTCAACTTAATTACCAACACAGAAAGAATCCCCAAGTAAGTGATCCTCTGCACACACTGCTCTGTAGCTTTCTTCCCCATTAGCTGTCACACCTCATCCTGCAAGGATGTTCGCACAAACACTTCCTCTTTCTGAAGAGTCTTTCTTATGGATTTAAGGACACTGCCCACTGTATGGGGCTTGCTGCCTGAGTCTCTGAGGATACCTTCCTCTTCACTAGGTCTACTTCCTCCTCCTCCTCTCCACAGAGAGTGACACCTTCCTACTCTCATAGCTTCAACTACAACTTCAGCACTAAGTCTGGCCCACGTTGTAGTCTAGCATCTGTTTCTCCCTTTTGCAAAAGAATCTAATCTGTTACACAGAGGCAGAGTAAAGCGTAAACTAATCTAATTCTCATGTCACTCAAACGTAAGTTAAGTGAAATGTCACTATAAATTTGTTGTCATCTTTGAAGCATCTATTCCAGGCTCATGCAGGTGAGGAACAATACCACCTCTGATTACAGAAATTTATTTTGTAAAATGGCAAAGGAAGTATAGAAGACAGTCATACTTTTCCACAGTGACTTACTCTTGGATAGGGCAGGCCACTGGTGGTGTTGAAAGCTGGTAGGAGTCTGTAACCCAGCTGCTTTGCCATTTGGAGCAGTTCATCATTGTACCACTGCATATATTCACCTTTTTCTTTCAGCATGATTGCCAGCGAGTGTCCACCCAAAAGACCCCTAGGATCACAGAGATAAAACATTTACTCATAATTTAAAGATGCTTGCAAGTTACTACCTAGAAAGGTGTGGGCATTTTGTTACCAACAACTTGCAAATATAAGGAAAGGCTACAGATGAATTTAATGATTTTTTTACTGGCTACTCATTTGGTGACTATTATAATTACATAGTCAACATATTAAGAAAACTAGGGGCTGGAAAGATAGTTCAGTGGGTAAAGGTGCTTGGATAGTTCAGTGGGTAAAGGTGCTTGCCACCAAGGCTGAGGCCCTGAGTTCAAACTCCAGAACCCACATGGCAGTAGAGAACTGACTCCAACAAGTTGTCCTCTGACCTCCATCCACATTATGGGCAACCCCCTGCCACATACATCCCAAACACAGTATCAGTCAATCAAGCAAAAATATTTTAAGACATTATTCATTCTGCTCTTATAAAGTTCTTGGCATTCTTAATTCTCTTAAATTTTCTTAAAGCAGAGAACAGCCTAGGTTATCACATTTATTTTTAACAAATTACATAAATATTTTGAAAAAAACTTTAAAATTATATCACTATGAAATCCTTAACTCTGTATAACATTTAAAAATTAAACATTAAACACCTTTATTCTTAAATGTAATCGATTACATCTCTGAGAAGCTATGCTCCCACCACTTATATTTAACTGAAGAGTAGCTCACTTTGTCTGACAAAGGAATTATGATCCAGTAACACAAAAGTTATTAAACATAAAACTTTACTAGCACTAAGGGCCGGGTGTAGTGATGCACTTGTGAGGCAGAGGCAGGCGGATCTCTGTGAGTTCAAGTCCATCCTGGTCTACACAGTGAGTTCCAGGTCAGCCAGGGCTACAGGGAGAGACCCTGTCTCCAACCCCTGACCCCCTCCCCCCAAAAAAATAAACAAAAGTAAAACAAAAACATTTATTAACACTAAAATGAACTAATCTCATAAATTCTTATTTTTAATCTCAAGGGTTCTTCTGTGATTTGACTGGGAAGCAATCCTACAAATTCAGTTTCATTTGGTTTCTCTGCAGAGATGCCTGGCTTATATTTGTCAATAAAAGATAATGAAAATTTATGATGTAACTAACATGTGTTCAACGTATAATTCCTTTCTCCATAGGGATTACCTTAGGTTTGAGTCTATTTCTAAAGACTGCTGCTGCCTGTTACTGATAAGGCAAGGTCATCTCCACAGCCTCTGCATTTCACAACAACCTAAGTTTTATCTCTTTTGGGGGGATGTGTGTTGAGACAGGGTTTCACTCTACTTCAGACTGGCATGGAATTTACTCTGTGGCTAGGTTAGCCTCAAACTTCTAACAGTTCTCTGGCTATGGCCTTCTGAGTGCTGGAATTATAAGCATGGGGCATCAAGCCTGGCTTCCAAATTTTATCTTTTAAGCATTAGAAACATCACTACTTTCAAGAAATAATCAGCCCTAAGCTTCTCTATCATTAACATTATTGCTTGAGTGTTGTATACTTACCCAAGAACTCTGATGTTTGTTTCAAAGACTGATACGACTACATCATTATCTAAATTAACATCTCTTAAAACTTTTCTCACAGCATCTTCAAATTCTTTAGTTTTATTTAATACCTAGAAGAGAATTACACAAAATTATTTTCTAACAAATCAAGGAAAAAATATACTCAGAATGAGATACCAAAATCAACATAGTATAGAGATTCAGAAAAGTAACGCATACAAAATAATATTTCCTCTAAGTTTATTATTAAAATATGATAATGTCTAAATTGACAAAGCTAAGTGCTAATGAGAAAGCAGTCTAATGTAGTTTTTTAGACATGCTGAAGTATCTTCAGGACTTTAAAATGCTCATCAGAGGAATTAATACTAGTTCATTTTTTATTATTTTTTAATTTTATGTGTATGAGTGTATTGTCTACATGTGTGTAAGTGCACCTGTGTCAAGCAGTGCCTGCAGAGGCCAGAAGAGAGTGTCAGATTCCCTGGAACTGGAGTTACAGATGGTTGTTAGCAGCCATGCAGGTGCTGGAAATTGAACCCGGGTCCTCTGCAAGAGTAGCCAGTGCTCTTAACTGCCAATCCATCTCTCCAGCCCTAATACTGGTTTCTTAATAGAGGTTGGAATCTCTAAGTCCCAAATCTGAAATCCTAAATGCTTCAAAATCCAAAACTTTTAAGTTTTGAATGTCTTGTTGTACCTGTTCAAAATGTTACAGATTTTTAAGTATTCAGATTGTTGGATTAAGAATGTTCAGCCTGTAAAGCTTATGGCATATTCTAAGATACAAACAACAAAACTAATACTTCTAGTCCCAAGCAATTCAGATGAAAGATTCTTCTTCATACTAGATAGATAGATGACAGGCAGATGGGATATACAGAAGTTCTTCTTTTTGTACTTTTATTTCTTCAAATTCTTCTGTTTTATTCAAATACTACACATATACTATTCAAATACACACACACACACGTGTATGTATATATTGCCCGTGACCTAGAGCTAGAGCTACACAAGGTAGCTCCTGGGATCTGGTTTCTAAGTCAGAGCAAAGCAACCATTGTGTTCACTAAGTACCATCGTAGAAACTGCTTACTCTCTCGGCCTGTAATATGGCTCAGTGGGTAAAGGGAGCTGCCACCAAAATCTGGCAGTGACCTGGGTTCTATCACCATGTGGCATAAGGAGTCCATATGGCAGAAGGAGAGAACCAACTCCTCAAGTTGTCCTCTGACCTCCGCAAGCATACATGCCTACACACATTCAATAAATAAAAATGTAATAAAAACAAAAAAGTAAAAAAGAAATTGCAAACTCTCAGAAGGAAGTACTTTTTTTCAACTGACTGATCACAAGTCAGATAACTGCTACCTTTCCCCCATGGATGTCCCATTTGCAAAGGAATTAGTGCAACATTATGGTCAAGAACAGGTCCTGATTTGAGTTCTGGTTCTCTCACTCACAACATGTGCAATTAAAGTTACTTCCATCTCTGAGCATGCTCCTTCATCTATAAAGGAAGAAATATCTACTCCATAAGGCTGTTTCCTTAAAGGAGACCATAAATGTAAAAGTGCTTTCTGCAGGGTGTCTGACTTAACTGCTTAGTATCAAGTGCTTAATACCACTGCCATTTATTGCCATGCAAGTCTAGACTCGTGACTCAGTTGAAACCTCTGTGGGCTCTTGGAAGAAGCTCCATTAAAGGGCGTCACTGTCTCTACAAGGGTTGTTTTGATTTTTCTGTCTAAATTAAGGCCACATGATTAGAAATCATTTAGAAACAGGAAGTATTAAAAGAAGTTTTCCTTTTTAAAATCTTTTTATTTGATAATATGTTGTTTCTGAAACTTGACCTGGTACTTTCACTAAAAACCCTAATTTAAGTATAAAATATTCCCTAAGATTATGTGTCCAAAATTCAAGTAAAATTAGGGCAAACATCAATCCAGGAGAAGCCTGATTTTGAAATGGTTTTTCTCCTCAGCCTCAAAATGCATGTAGACTGTACAACAAATGCAGAAGCATATGCTCTTTGGTCACTTGTGGAGTGAGACACACGTTCTCTCTCTATTGGCCAGACACTTTAATACCACCTTTTTAACTTTCTCTTCAGTCTAGCTACTGACAATTCTGCCTCCCTGAACTGAGCTGCTTTTCTCTAACCAACCAACCAACCAACCAACCAACCAACCAACCAACCAACCAAAAATCATATCAAATACCATTTGCTTCAAAAAAGGAAAAAGTTATCTTTTCCCATAATTAGCTAGAAAAATTATTTCTAATAGACTCATCATTTTATGAGTTTCTTTTATTGGTAATATTAATTCTTTGAGAATTTCATACAGTGCATTTTGATCACCCCCACTCCATTTTGTGAGTTTCTTAAGTTCCTAACTGGTAACAAAAGGTGAGGCCAGGTCTCATCCTTTCCCCCATTATCTTTAATCAGTTTCAATAATTTTTCCTTTTATTGATTTCATGGTAATGCTGATTTAAGGGAACAATGTTTTAGTGTTTAACTTTGTGACAATCAATTGAAACTAGATACCTGGTATTTTGAGTAGTTTAAATCTAAAAATGAAAACTATGACAAGAGAAATTGTACTTCACAGATTATGTATAATGACCAAAATAAAAATGGTAGGGTTCTGTACACTGCTACAAATATCATGTCCTGTCAGTGTTTTCAAACTGCTGAATCACAAGATGGAAAAAGAATCACAATTTAACTAGAATTACTAATACTTGCACTGACAAAACATAACATCCTTTCTAAATGCAGGAAAAACTTCCAAAGCACTTTAATTTTCTCCAATTCTTCTGTATAAAACCAAAAGCAAAATATTTAGGATAATGATAAAAATTTGAGATGAATTTGCCTACTTCCAATGCTATGATGATATGTAAAACTAAACATTTTATAAAGTATTTGTTTATTGTGTGTGTATGTATGAGTAAGTGTACATGTCACAATGCACATGTGGAGGTCAGAGAACAACTTGTAGGAGTCTGTCCTTTCTTTCCACCATGTGAAACCTGGGGATTGAACTCAGGTCATCAGGCTTGACATCAAGCACCTTTACCTGCTGGGCCATCTCACTGGCTCCTAAGGTATTATATATTAAATGTTTGTCATATTTTCTTGATCTTTATTCCTGACTTCCTTTGATATTGGCTTCAACAAGGAGGCATAACTTATCTGATTTTGAATTAAAGATTAGAAGAATATAGTCAGTTGGGACCAGAGGTGATCTTCCTAAACTGCTTTTAGGGTTGAGAATTTTTGTTCCAAATTAAAAATGCACCAGTGGAAAATATATAAGAACTACTTTGAAAACTCTGCAACTCAAAAGACTGTCCTGTTTTTATTTTTAAATATTAATCAGCACTTGGGATATTAAATTAAAGTAGAAGAATTATACCTTAAGGAAAACCCGTAAACAAGCCATATTCGAGGCAAAACACTACTTAAGCAAGTATTTAGAAATCAGTGTTCAGAATTTAGTCTTTCCCCTCTGCCATCATAAACAACTTCAAACTAAACTAATTAATATGATTTTTACATTAAATGGGTTGAAAAGGACAGCCCAAAAGTCATCAATTGGTGCCAAAAAAAATCTCTGGTGGGAAGAATAATTTTTGCTTCTGTACACAGCATAAAAAGATTGGAATTTAACAATTTTAGTATTTTTGTGGCATACTATCATGGAACAAGAAGAGTAACAGTATTTTTCCAAAATTATCTTCTTCTAACAGCTCCGATCTCCTATACAAAGAGAGAGAACACCTTTCTAGAATGTTATCAAGTAAGCTGACATCGCTATAAATTGTGCCTCCATTATTCTACAGGATTCTATTTGAAATTCATTTGACATAATCAACTCAATAATGTTCAAGGTTTATTCAGAAGCAATGATTTGAACACCTTAAATTCTTACAAGCTTCTATCTCACACCTAATATGTTGATTACATTTATAATACTTAAGTGTGAAATTTGTAAAACAATTCCAAGAAAAATGGAACTTACCACAAGAGTGTCCAAAGAATCAATCAGTGTTAGGGAAAATCTAAGAAATAAGTATAATTAAGACACAAAACATTAGAATTTGAAATATTTTATCACAGATGTATAAGCAAAATTATCTACATCCTATTGACTTGTAGTTTCTATTAAGTAGTATGTGCACTTATAGTGCAACGTGATCTATAAAACAATGAAACAATCTGAAAAGCTAACATCCTAGCCTATGTATTTTTGAAGGTATGTAGAAACTTCATTAGCTCTTTTAAAAGTAAATGAAAATATTAAAGCTCAATGCCAAAGGTCCAAACCCAAGCAACACAAATAAATATTTTAAATATTTATTTTTATCTTTTGTGTATGAGTGTTTTGCCTGCATGTATATATGTGTGCCATGTGCATGCAGTGCCCACAGAGGTCAGAAGAGGATGCTGGATCCCCTGGAACTGGAGTTATGAATGGTTGTTAGCCACCATGTAGGTGCTGGGAACCAAATCCAGGTCCTCTGCAAGAGTAACCAGTGCTCTTAACTGCAGAGCCATCTCTCCAGTCCCACACAAATTGATCAAAATATATTACATATATACATGCACATATATATGTAGTTATAATGTGCTAATAACTTCATATGTATTTTTTAAATTACACTGAAGTTGTCGGGTGTGGTGGCACACACCTTTAGTCCCAGTACTTGGGAGGCAGAGGCAGGAGGATCTCTGTGAGTTCAAGGCCAGCCTGGTCTACGAAGTGAGTTCCAGGCCAGCTGGGGCTACAAGGAGACCCTGTCTCAAAAAGACCAAAAAGGAAAGAAAAAAAATTACAACAAAGTTTTATATATATAAAATTATATCCAGCTTAATAAGTTAACTTTTCTCAGATCTAAGAGATAAATTACTTTTTCAAAACAAAAAAACAATAGGAAAGAATAAAGGATCTCAATGTAATACTTAAGATAGTCTTCTCTTTCTTTTTTTAAGGCAATCATTAAAATTTGGTCAACTAAGGCCATAGAGATTGTTCAGTAAGTAAAGGTACTTGCCACCAAGTCTTGCAACTTAAGTTCAAGTCCCAGAACTCAACATGGCAGAAGGAGAGAACCAACTCTTGCAAGTTGTCCTCTGACCTCCATACACATGCTATGGTACACGTGCACACGTGTACATACATAGTAAATAAATAAATGGGAAAATAATGTTTTTAAAAGCTGGCTAACTCCCAGAAACATGACTGCAAATTTTCTCTATCAAGTCTGACTTTGTAAGTTTGAAAGGCCATGACAGACCTTATAATACTCACTTTCCCAAGGCATCATCTACATCACCCCGGCTTGGTTCTTGGCCCCTGACACGACCTCTACAGGTTAAAGGCATGAGTTCATCAGCTGGGTAAGCATGTTCCTGCAAAGAAAACTCTGGTAAGTCACTAAAGAAAGTGAGAGAAATATGTATCATTTAGAGAGTACGATCTTTCACAGTTTAGAAAAAAATAAATATCAGAGCCAAGCATGGTGGTACACACCTTTAATTCCAGCACTTGGGAGGCAGAGGTAGGCAGATCTCTGAGTTCAAGGCCAGCCTAGTCTACATAGTGAGTTCCAGGCCAGCTGGGACTACAAAGAGACCCTATCTCAAAAATAATAAATAAATAAATAAATAGTCAAAAGGTAGACTATATAATTTATAGAAAATTTAAAAATTTAATTTGAAATGTTATATATACCAAATAATATAAAAATTTCTTTCAAAAACTGACACTCTAACTTCCCCTCTTCTAATCTTATTACTCCCAGAGATGACTGCTATTTAAACCAGCATTTAGCCTTCCAGATTTGTTCATATATATTTTAATACATTCAAATACATGTACACGTATAATTTTAAAACATTTTTTTGACTCTCACTATATACAGGTGTACACAAGCCCAGACTGGCCTGGAACCCACAAGTCTCGTGCCTTAGCCTTCTGAGCACTGGAGTTACAAGCAACTGTTCTGCCCAGTTAGGAGCTAGGACTTGAACAAAACTCAGGTCAAATTAATGATCTTAATGAATAGAGTCCTTTCTCCTAGTAATGGATAATGATGAGGATAGTCCAGGTTCTCAGATTCCTGTGTGTGAACACAGGGCCTCAGGCATATTAGATATTAGGTAAGTACTCTACCACTGACCTACATCCAGAAATTTTATTTACAAATAGGTGCTTATACCATCTGTACACACTGATCTAGAGTTTATTTTACTTAGTACACAGGTGTATCAGAATATTTTAGAAATACTCTATTCTAACAAAAACAAAATAATATCGTATTTATTGAATACATAATTTCTAATATCTGTTCTATACATGAAAATGATTATTTCAACAACCTCTGAAGGAGATTCAATTGTCTTTATTTCACAGAGAAGAAAACTAGAGCCCAGGAAAATCAAGTAAGCCTAGGTCATGCAGCTAATAAAGGATGAATCCAGAATTCAGAGCTGCCTGGTAACCTGACTGCAGAGCCCATACTCTTAAAGGGGACCTGCTCCTCATAGGCTACACAGTATGGATAAGCTTATTTATTCCTGTACTTGTGAATATTAAAAAACAAATCATCATCTACTTACACATATGCCTTTCATACATATGCTATTATTTCTATAGTCTATTAAAAACAGTCCTCAGGCAATAATGACCTTCGCATAGTTACTACCAAACAAGGAATCAATTCACAATCTATTATACTCTAACATTTGAAATGATGGATGTTCTGTATTTTGCCAATTACCTGGGGGGGGGGGGTGCCTCAACTTCCAGCATTAATAATAATATACATCTTTTATATCAGCCATTACTATTACTTTAAAAAACGTCTGCTTATGCCTTTTGCCTACTTTCTTAATGGTTACTTTTATGACCCAAAGAGATGTAACAAACATTATTTGTTATATATAGTAAATAATTTTAGCCTTTCTTTGCTTAGCTTTTAATTTTTGTTTACTTTAAATATGTAGTGACATATGTTCATTTCTTCATTTACAGTTTCTGGATTTTAGGTATCCTGCACAAAGCTACTCTGAGCTTTTAAAAAACACTACTCTCAACTTTTTTTTCCTATTTTTCTTTACATTTAAGTGTTTTCTCTTTTGCAATTTATCTGTTTCTAATGTGAAATAGGGACATAATTTTATTTGTTCCCCCATGATAGCCAATTTTCTAAATTCTATTTTTAAAAGAATTGATCCTTTCCCAATTGCATAAAACATTGGCTTTCTTAGTTCAAAACAGTCTAAACATTTTTTTCTGTAGTCTCTATACTGTACAGACCTATGTGCCTATTCTACTCTAAAATTATCCTAATTATTCAAACTTTATAATATGGTTTCTTACATTTATGTTTTGGGACGGTTTTAAAATTTCTCCCAAATGTTACTGCAATTCTAATTGAAGAACCCAATTTAGGAAGAACTGGTAACTTTAATACTCATTTTCCCAATTAGGAATATAGTATACCACTGTATCAATTCAAATCCTCTTTCATAAATTCAGTCTCTTTTATAGGTCCCAAATCCTTCTTCATAGTCATTAATAGATGCATTAAAGTTTGGAATACTGGGATTTATTTAAAGAATGGCTATGAGAGTTCACTTCCAGTCTATATGGTGACAAAGCACAGAAAATATATTTTTCCACACATACTATGAACACAATGAAATACTAAATATTGTTACATAATTAACATGCTCATTATGATCAGAGATCAAACACACTGCTTCTTGCAAAGTTCACTAGGGATTGATAGGAGTGTTCGTGCCCAAGTTCTTCAAGTCACACTCAGAGAGCAAGTGTGTGGTTGTGTTGCCTTGCTTGTCACCAGTGATAATTATCCTACACTGACAGCTTACAAAATGAATAACCAAAGAAGAAAATTAGCGGGGACAGGAGAAAAAGGAAAAATAAAGGCACATATGTCCTAAGTGAAATTTGAAGTGTTTATAAAAGTTAAGAAACGGCTGCCCCTCAGGATGTTTTTGCCATCACTGAGAGACTCTAGGCATGGAGACATCAGAGCGCCAAGCTATTGATGGAAATTAAGAAAGTGGTTGTGACACAGAGCTAAAGATATCATAGAGGACGTGATTCTGCAAAGGAAATTTCAGATACATTTCATGACACTGAAGGAGCAGAGCATAAGATGTTTGGTGTTTATCCAAACTTAGAAAGATGCATTAAGAAAAAAAAAAAAAAAAAAAGGAAAATGGCAGTTCACCAAATACTGGGATTAAAAAAAAAAAAAGAATGATAGCTCACTGACTGCTCTTGCAGAGGACTGGGGTTCAATTCCCACACCCACATGGCAGCTAACAACTGCAACTCCAGTTCCAGGGGATCCGACATCCCCTTCTGACCTCCTTGGGCACTGCATGACACAGGTGCACTTACACACATGCAGGCAATATTCATGTAAAAAAAAAAAAGGATTAAGAAAATTTTCATGAATCCATAAAATGATGTTTGTTGCTGGGTATGGTGGCACACACCTTTAGGAGGTACCCAGGAGGCAGAGGCAGGCAGATCTCTGTGAGATCAAGGCCAGCCTAGTCTACACAGAGAGTTCCAGGCCAGCTGGGGCTATAGAAAGACCCTATCTCAAAGACAGCCCCCAACAAAAGTGATACTTGTTCCAGGACCTCAGTAAGCTTTACTTTTTAGCACTTTTAATATTTTTAAATTAAGCATACTAAATACTAGTTTTGCTATTTTTTTCATTTTCTCTTTAACCATGAGTTTTGGGGGTTTTTTTTTAATGTGTATAAACGTATCACTTGCATGTGTGTAAGTGCACGGGTGTCACGCAATACCTGCGGAGGTCAGAGAGGGAGTCACATCACCTGGAACTGGAATTACAGATGGTCATTAACCACCATGTGGGTGCTGGGAATTGAACCTGGGTCCTCTGCAAGAGTAGTTAGCGAGTCAGTGTTCTCAATCACTGAGCCATCTCTCCAGCCCCCCATGAGAGTTTTGACAGAGACTGCATTTATTGTTCCTGGACTCTAGTTTTCTTCTGCTTACATACTATGACTTTGAAGTCTAGATAACTGACCTGAGTGAGAGGCAGTAGGAGACCTGGACACAAATTTGGGAATATTTTTGTTGAACTGTAAGAATTAAGAAATAGCCAGGCATGGTGGCACACACCTTTAATCCAAGCATTAAGGAGGCAGAGGTGGGTGGATCTCTGTGAGATAGAGGCCAGCCTGGTCTATATAGAAAGTTCCAGGTCAGCCAGAGCTACACAGTGAGGTCCTGTCTCAAAAAACCCAAAAGCGGGGGTGGGGGTAGGGGGAGAATTATGAAACAGAGGCTGGAGAGATGGCTCGGCAGTTAAGAGCCCAGCAGCTGCTCTTGCAGAGGACCCACGTTTGGTTCCTAGCACCCACAAGGCAGTTTCTGTAACTCTAGTTCCAAGGGATCTGATGCCCTCTTCTGGCTTCCACAGGCATTATAGGCACATGGTGTGTTTACATACATACAGGCAAAACACTTGTAAAGTAAAAAGTAAAAATAATTTTTTGGCCAGGCGTGGTGGTGCATGCCTGTAATCCCTGAACTTGAGAGGCAGAGGCAGGTAGATCTCTGTGAGTTCAAGGCCAGCCTGGTCTACATAGTGAGTTCCAGGACAGCTGGGGCTACAGGGAGACCCCGTCTCAAAAAAGACCAAAAAAAAAATTTTTTTTTAAGAGAAATAGAGACAATTGAATGATAAAAACAAGTCACATACAATGTACGAAAGATGATTAGTGTTGGAAACTTCCAGACCAATATGCAGTGAGAGCAGAAAGACTGAAAAACCATGTCTTCACGTTTCTGAAGGAAAGAAAGCCTGTCTGTCTAAAGCACTACAGGTTGTCCAATTGTTCTTCAAGAGTGAGCAAGGAAAGAGACAACCTAAGACCAGATGAATAATATATGACACTCTGAAAAACAGGTAACAAACTACCTGAGGAAATTGGACAACCAAGATGGGGGGGGGGGGGAGAGAAAGAAAAAAAACTCAGGAGAGAACAGAAAAACGATGTAGATGAACTCCCCTTGAGTGAAATTTTGGCACTAACTACTCTGGGAATTGGTCCCAGAACAGAATGCAAATGTTATAAACCTCCAAAAAAATCTTTGTCAAAATTCTCAGTTTTAGTCAGATGTGATGGCATATGCCTTTAATCACAGCAGGAAGGACGCAAAAGCAAAGAGATTTCTGTGAGATCAAGGCCAGCCTGGTCTACATGGAGAGTTTCAGGCCAGCCAGGGCTACATAGTGAGTGAGACCCCATCTCAAAACTCAGAACATTTAATAACTATCACTCAGGAAGGAAACTCAGGTGATAAAAAGGTCTTGCAGAAATTAGGTAGAGCA